ATGAAGGCAATGATAGTCTCATGCTTGCATATACACGATTGACACTTGACAAGTTGGAACTCTAGCGACCTCTAGATCAGGGTCTTTTTACACTCCTCCTCAGTGCCGAAAGTATAAGCAAAAAGTGCATCAATGCTTTCAAGTGTGACTTTCATCATTGAAGATATACTAAATTGCTTATCTTTTCTATTTTCTTAAAATATTTCATTTGAATGATTCGTGGGTGTACATTTTCGTAGATTTAAAAAAATAACCCAGTTTTCTGTAAATCATAGCAATATTCCAAAGCAAGTACTTTTGCACTCAACATACGCCATCATTACAATAATCCCATCAAATATCTAAATAGGCTACTGTGGTCTTGATGGTTATTGAGCACGGAACTAATGGAACTTTTGCTTCTAGAATAAGAGTAAATCTCTCTCTCTCTCTCTCTCTCTCTATGCGTGAAAAAACACAATCTATTTACTTGCTCAACAACTATTTCTCCATCATTGATATGTATATATCACTTTATCTCGTAAAAGGAAAGGAAAGGCTCTCTTCTGTTCGCTCTGCTTTCGAGCATGGTTTTTGCTGGCCTTACCGTTGTAATATTTTTGTTTGTTTTCGCAAACCTTTGTTATCATTTGCCTCGCCGTTTTGCTCTCCTTCCGATATCAAGTTGTGCCCCTCAAAATACGATAGGTTCGAATAAATGTTTTCAAGTGGATGCTGATCCAGCACTTGCATATGAAAGCCAATCTCTTGTTATGTTGGTACAGTATGGGCGAAAGGCTTCCATGTGCGCCACTACATTAATACTTGACAATGTGTAAATGAAAACTTTATCTCCCCGTTCCAACTCTGCGAATGTTGTGGAAGTACGTTGTGTTGACACTTTTGTTTCAATGTTTCCATCATACTTACATCCTTTCTTTGTTTTGTTCCAATGATAAGGATCTCCCCTCTTCGTTTGTGTCCCCGAATGAGGTTAAACTTTCCACTTTAGGCCCTGCTTTGGTCTGACTCCATACGACATTCCACGAAGGAGAACAAAACCTCCGTGATGACCACACTTGAAGTGGAAGATTGAAGAACGACTTAACCACAAGACTGCATTCGCAGTGGTATGATGAAAACGACGCTTCACGTGCATGACACTCTACCGTGATATATGAAGTTCACATGGTGGAATTTAATATTTCTTTTGCAGACTACATTCAACAAAACACGTTAAGCATGTGATTGACCTCCTAATATTCGTAATCATCCGAGTATGCTAACATGCAATTGAAAACACACTGCAACTGGGATCTCAAGCTGAATCAAGCATATATTCCAAAGTTGTTCAACAAGCTCCACTGGTCAACGGAAGGTCATGTGATGCGTTTTCCTCGATGTCCTAAAGACTTGGTTGCATGTAAGGTCGACCAAGTGCAAATCATGAACTCAGAACTTTCAATTTTACCGTAAAGTGCTGCTTGAAGACCACAAGAATCTCTACGTCGTGATCTAAGAGCAAGTGAGATTGAAATCTGCAACTTGAAAGTTGACAAAGAGATAAGATGTACATTCTAATTTAGTCTCGATCTTTCAGAGTATCTTTCTTGTGTCAGCAGTCTTCTTGGAACATTATGTTTTATTCTACATAGATTATTTCGGTTAGAACCCATTCAAGTTTACATTTTCCCCCTAGTTTATTGTATCGGGGTAATTACTTATTGATGGTTTCCCAATAATGGGTGAAATTATAAAGTTCATTCAACCAAAGATAGACAATAGTGTTACAGTAATTTTATTAAAATTAGATTTTATATTGATTCAAGTTTCATCTTGAGTGGGTTTTAAGCATACTTCAACTAATCAAATATGCTTACAAACTTTATATCTTAAAGATGTACTTTTGTTCTTGAGAATATCATGTATTAGTTGAATTCAATACAAGATTTCGTTATGGACAAATACTTATAAAAAATTATATTTAAGATAAACTATAATTTTTCACTTTTAAGCGTAATAAATGTTAATAGATGAGCGTAAACACCGTAATGCACTTATGGTACATAAATTCATCAAATTCACTATTTAATGCAAAAATAAATAAAAAGCAAATCATACACACGATTGATTATAGCCTCAATCTTTAGCTTAAATAAAACTTAAACTTTTTAGGTGTTATTTGTAATGAAGCAAAATCGGTTCACATATTCTCGTGTTAAAACCCTTACATTAAACTTGTAAATCTTATTTTTGTAAACGTTTAAGTTATAATATCATACATTGATATCTTATTTCAGCTTCACACCTATAAACATACGAACACTACACAAACATGTAAGGAAACTACATCATTATGGTACGTAAGTACTAGTCTTTGATGTTTTGGAAATTCCAAGATTTGTTTTGATGATATGCTTATCTTGGACACATCAATTTTCGATGAGAATTTGAAAAGTCCTCAAGAGGATGCTTCGAGGTCACGTGGAAATATGATTCTAAGAAGTTTTAGCAATCGGATTGTCAAATATATTTGACAATCAGCTGCTGTGAAGTCTGAATGTCAAACATTGAACTGGATCAACTGGTCCGTTGTTTCTCATCTGCTCTGCCTCACATCGCAGTCGGGTTGTAATGATTTCTCAACTCTCCAATGGAGTCTGACACGGTCTCCCCCGAATCCTACGAGTGTCATGACTCCTCACTCAGGAATAGTTGCCGAGGGAGGAGGTGCTGATTAAATCAAATGGCGCCAGAAATTTCAAGAGAATGAAGAGAATGGGTGATAAGAAAATGGTCGCAGGCATGCGGGTCGAACCGGGAAGAAGAGAACGGAATCTGGAGCAACCGTACGAGGGGGGCAAGATCGAAGTGAATTAAGAGAGGACACGGGAGCGAGAAACATTCGGGAGCGAAAGGACCGAGTAAAGTTAAGGGAGAGAGGGAGGGAGGCCGGCCGGCCGGACTGGAATCCGAGATTTAACTGACAGAGGACTAAGGCGCAAGGAGGGGTCAAAACATGAGACTGAGATAGGGGGCGAAGACCGGAAGGAGCGGAGTTAAATAGTCGAGCGATGGTGCTGGATCCGCTAGGCCAACCGGACATGGCCAGCATGTGTATGTATGATGGAGGACGATCAGCAGCAGCAGGAGATCTTTTGTGGGGCCCGGCGGCCGTGGGCTCGGGCGCCTGCCTTCTTCGAAAGAGAAACCGGAAAAAGCAAGGTCGTCCTGCGAGAAGTATAATATCGCAAGGACTAATCGGGCGCTGATTCGCTGCGGAGGCGAGAAGGTGGAAGGCTTGATTCGGGCACGTCAGCAGGCGACATGACTATGCACTTGGCAGATGCCTGCCGATTCGGGGATCACGATTCTTCGTACCCCCGCCCTCCCCCAGCTTTTCACCCAACCTTTTGCCGGTAATTCTCCGCGACCTAAGATCGTGTTTGTTGGTCTTCGATGCCGTCGGCCCGGCCCGGCCCGCTCCACCAGAATCCTCGGACAAGTCGCAGGAGCTTTTTCCCGACGGGTGGCCGATCGCCCCGGCCCGGCCCGCCCGCGCGGCTCTCCGAGGGGGTCGGATCACATGGAAATATCCCACCTCCGTTACTCTATCGGAAGACGAGCGCCGGCACCGGCGCATGAAAGCCGATGAAAGTAAAATCCCCATGCATCGCTCCCTCCACCCCTGGCCGAAAGCGTCAGGCGGGCAGGCAGGGCGGGCAGAGCAGCAGCAGCAGCAGCGCCTTCAGAACCGTGGTACCGCCATCGGAGCACATGACTATCGCCTGGCTCGACTGCCCCGCATGACTGCGAAGGGCTCCGCTGTTAGCCCCGCCGTCGACTGCAACCATGGTAGGGCGCTGCGGTCGTCTCGTGGTATGAGGAGGAAGGCGGGCCAATGAGCGAGCGCGGGAGAGCGATCGTCTCGATTGGGCTCGCGACGTTGGTCGCCCGAGTTGCCGCCGTCACGGAGGCGAGTCTTTTCAGGGCGGGCTGGGCCGGGTTCTTTAGCTCGGAGGTCGCTCTCCTGCCTGATCCTTAAAATCTCGCTCTCTATGGTCCACCATGACTGGCCTCCACGTCAGTGCTAGGGACGATAAGTCTCATTAGGGCCTCTGTGCCTAGCAGCGCTACAGCAGCAGCTACGGTCGGTCGAGCCTCAGACGGAGCGGAGCCTAGGACGCATTGCAGCGCGACGAGGCCGAGGCCGAGGCCGAAGGGTTGCTCTGAACTTTTGGGATTGGCATCGGCCGGGCCCCAGCTTTCTGGAGCCAGGCCAAGCCAGGCCAAGCGGACCGAGGAGAGAGAGGCAAGGCAAGAATCCATGTAGAGGGCGAATGCCCCCGCCCTCCCCATGGATTTATCTCCCGTGGGATTGGGCCTTTAGATATGAGTGCGCTTTTCTGGTGCGTGGGCCAGGCTCCTTGGCCGAGTGTACTTTTAAGGGTGGGGGGAGAGGGGGCCCTGGCTCGGTCTTTTCTCAGCGTAGGACTAGGATGACCGCAAGCCTACAGCTCGCACTGTGGAGGGAGGGAGGGAGTCATCGGGGCCCCTGTTTTGAAAATATTGATACGGATGGAGATGCCGATGATGAGCCAGCTGAGTTGGATATCGCGAGCTCGAGCTCGAGCGGGGTGGTCAGCCGGTGCACAGAACACAGGAATGATACAGCTCACCTAACTCCATTATCTCCATCCTGTTGGGGCCCCGATTTTGGCCACGGAAGAATCTGGCTGGAAATTTGCCCTCAAGAGTTGGGGTCGGGTGGGCATGGTTAGAGGCGAGCTGTCGCGCTGGGCCTCGGGGGCCATGGCATGGGATGGCATGGCATGGCATGGCTTGGATGGAAGCGTCTCGCGACTCCAGACCCCGGCGGGCTATCTGATGCTGGCTACTAGGGGGTGGGGGTGGGGGTGGGAGGCAACGTGTGCTCTGCTGGGCTTTGTCTGCTGCCGCAGTTGGAAGGGAGGGAGGGAGGGAGGGAGGGAGGGAGGGAGGGGCGGATTTGGCATCCAGCGATGGCGGAGGGCGACAAGGACAGAGTTCCCGTAGCAAGGGAGGGAGGGAGTGGCTTTTTCTCCAGTTCCGCTGCTGCTGCTCTGCGCTTGTGGCCGCGGGGCCGCGTGGCTGCCTGGCGGGCCGCGGTTGGCCCCGGCGTGCATCTTATCTGTCCCGCCACCGGATGCCTCCTTTATGATTCGCAACTCTCCCTTTCCGCTCTCTCGGCGCTCTGCCGCAGGCCTTCGCTTTTATTGCTGAGTCCTCGTCTCAGCCAACCGGCCTGGCCTGGCCTTGCCTTCCCTTTCATTGAGCTCCTTCGCAGCGCTGGGCTGCTGCTGCTGCTGCTGGGTGGGGTGGCTGGCCAGGGGACGAGGGTCGCTAAAGCACTCGGGTCCAGTCCGCGGCCCAGTCCGCCTTCTGCTGCTGCTGCTACTCCCAACCTTACCGGACTCGCTTTTCCTGCTGCCCAACATGATGGCAATTAAAGTCGCTGCTCTCTTTCACCTGCTCGATGCTCACTAGTCCGGATCTATTTATGCATCCTCTCTCCAAGCCTCCGTCTTTTCCATCTTTTCCTCCTTTCCTTCGTCAGCTCAGTCCGTGCTTCCTCTGCCTTGCCGCTCCCTGGATCCAATCTCCGCATCCTCCCACCTGTTCGGTTCATAAGTTTGTGCTGCGTCCTTGCGTGCGTCCTCGTGCGAGCCTACTTTCCCGAGTTTACCCTCTTTCCTCCCGTCTCTCTCTCTCTGTCTCTGTCTCTGCTCCTCTTCTGTATCATCCACCTCCGGGCTCGATCATCTTAGTCTTCCAGATGCGATTTTCTGTACTTGATTTGCCATGCCGCAGATTGACAGTGGCTGATTGGCTGCTTAGACCCGCTGCGTCCTCTCTGGCCTCTCTCTCGCAGCCTCGCTGCCTCTTATCAGAGTGTTGATGAGAGAGAAGACGAAAAAGGGAGCGGGCAGGAAAGAAGCAGAAGAAGACCCAGGGCCGGATGCGCCGGTGAATGTCTGTCTTAAGTCCTCCGTCACCCCTGAGAGATTCTTATCTCGATGGACCCTTGCATTGACGCGAAAGGCGAAGAGGGTTTGAAGGTGCATTCGGTGTCGTCCTTCGCCATTTAGCGTTCTTCCCATCTCTTCCATTCTTGGCGTCGCCGCTCTTCGTTATGTTTCAAGGTGTCCCAGATTTCCATGTTCCATGAAGTGTCCTAGTCCGTTCCTCTTGCGCTGCCCGCCCTCTCCTCTCTCCTCATTCTCTCTCTGCCTCTTTGTCTCCTTGCCTCCCTCCTCTTCCCCCCTCCCTCCTTGCCTACGCCTTCCTCATCTCCGAATTTCTGTGGTTGCAGACCATCGATTACCCGCTTGCCATGATCAAATAGCACTCACTGCTCGCCACGGCGATTGTCGGGTTCTCAGTCATGGAGTCGCGCGGCGCGTGCAAGCCAGGAAGTAGTGTATGCAAATTGGGGTGGTGTGGATCTTAGTTTCCTTTCGCAGATTCGTCGGCTTATGTGACAAATGTCCCCACGCGGTAGGAGTGAGTGATGTTGGTTTAGGAAGCTTGCAATTCAGGTACCACCGACTCCGTATTGCGAGGCTTAGCTGCTCAGTAGGAAAAGTCCGAAGAAGTAAGTTCTCGATAAACAAGGAGATGAAAGGGGGAGTTTGCCGAGAAGCCAAGAAAGGAGGGGTCGTGGACCGGTACATGGGAGAGGGAAGTGGTGGTGTACGGAGCTCTGAGGGCCAGTCTCGGTCCTCCCCTGCTTATCTGGTTGCAGGACTCTCAGGTAGCGGCTTGCCAACTGCATCTTCAACTGTGCACGCTCCATACTCCAACGATACATTCAGTCACCAGGCCCGTGTTTATGGTATCTCCACTCAGGGATGCGTTGCTTATCAAGATGCTCCAGATGTGCAACAGGTAATTGGGCTGACTCGAAGCCCTTCCGGCCTGCATGTTACGACAGCAGCCTTGCTAACGTCTAGCTCTGCTTTGAGACCGAGTGTGGATGACCAACCTCTTCCTGGAGCTCAGCTTCAGATTCTCTGAATTCTGTATCATCTGCAAAGCCGACAGTGTCTATTTGTCAACTGGGACACTGAATTGTGGAGGCAGTTCTCTGCAACCATGATGGTCTTGCGCATGCGAACTTAGGTCTTGGGAGGGGGGTTGTCTATGTCCATCAGTCTGTTGTCCATGAGTACGCTTGAGGATTCAGTACCCAGAAAAGGAAACGCGATGTTCTTTGGCACAATCCTTCCCGCATCCCAGCTTCCGTCCCTCCTCCCTTCTTTCACTGCCTTTAGATTTGTGTTAAGTGCACCAAGATGCCGGATCCAAGGTGGTGAATGAGAAAGGCACTCTGTTCTTTCCCTTTATAAATTTTTTTGGATTGGTCCCTCGCGTTCATTTGTTCATTTGCAAACGCCTCCATCGAGCGTATGTTTCTGAACTTTCACCCTACCCCACCAAATCCTCCTAAAGACCTGCAAGCACATCGGAGTAAAAGGCGGGTATATTGTCAAACATGGAGCCGATCGTGGATGTGTGGTATTATGCTTGCGGTCCTTCCTTTGGAATACAGGGACTTTGCCTCATTTCGCCATTGGTCATGGAAACACGTCATACCTAGTGAGCTCTCTTTCTTGCTGCATGATAGAGAATACGAGTGTAATCAAAACCTTTAGACTACAGAGAGCCGTAGAGCTCGTGAGCATAGTTCCAGAATTTTTATTATCAATTTGGATCTCATATTTAGGTCTACCTTGCGTCCAAGACATGAGACAATTTTCAACAGCTCATCTGGTACAACTTGTTATCATGCTATTCTCTCCTTCTTTACCATCTGTCATGAATTGGGCTATCGCTGGTCGAAATTTGACCTTGAAATGTCAACCTACAGATGGCGACAACAACACCGGTCTTAGGTGCTTTTAGTGAAACTTTATTGAATTAGTTGAAGGCGTCAGAAATTGAAAATGTAGTTCCTCCTGTCCAATCAGTATTAAGTGCTTTAAGTGAAACTGTATCGAAACAGTAAAATTGAGAGTATCGTTTTTCTTGTTCCCATCACTCTTAGGTGCTATTACTGCAACTTCATCGTAGTAGTTCAAGGTATCAGATGTTGAGAACATAGAGCTTTATGTATCCAAAACTAAGAAGTTCACCTTCTATGTGTATGCAGACATCAGAAAGCGCGGGTGCCAAGGCTGATTCAGGCAGCTCTTCGTTTGCATCTACCCCATCTAAGAAACCGAAAGGTGATTTGAAACCCAGAGCTGTTCAAACTACGAAGTTACAGCTCAAAGGGGATAAGTTGCCTACAGCTGGAGTGAAGCATTCACTTTCCTTGAGCAATGATTCTGAGATGCAGATCAATGTGGAACAAGAAATGCACAGCATGCGCCAAACCATTCTCGAACAAGAAGCCCTCTTCAGGGAACAGGTGAAATTTCTATCTTTGTCAGACTTTCCGTCTGCATGTCGTAGATTCAATCCGATCTAAAATATTTTGGATTCAGAGCATCTCTTACCGATCACTATGTTCACTGTCTACCACACTAGACATATCCTGAAATGGTGTGGCCCCTTACTCTATCCTGATTTGGAACATCAGTCACGGTGATCGTTTTATCCCGACATCTATCGATGTAGCTCAAGCATGAACAGTGTGAACACAAAGTCCGTTCTGCTGCGTGATGGGGCTATTCATGTGTCTTTGAACGACATACACAAGATGTTGGCTTAGCTCGATATTTTGATTTAAAGACGGGTATATCGATTACAGAGGTGCTTAGTCTTTGAGCTCTGGTTATCGAGTTAAATATACATCTTGCAAAACGCTGAATTAAAGCTCTCCACGATTTATGACGTGGAAGATAGGTCGATAGAATTCTGTATTTGTTGAGTGTGGGCCTCTCTAAGATAGGATAGTTGGATTCTTTGTTTGAAAAGACTACTTGTATTGATGGAAATACAAGCAATGATGTGCAAACCGCAATGTACGACTCGTGAGTGTGTGCAATTTTGACTTACACGCATGGATCACACTGAGCCACGTCCGGGATCATAGATATGGTTTGACACCATCACAGACAAGGAAGGATCCTGTGCCTTAGTGACGATCTAAGTACTACGTGCAAACTTGCATAAAAGCCTACATCTCTGCAAATATCTTTAGAGGCTTTCTTATGGTGCCATTATGTCAAGCCACAATTTTGCACGCTCTGCACATGTGTTGGTAATATCACTGAACGAGCAGATAGTTAGATGTCTTGTCGATCGCACATCGAAGTTCTGCGTGTCTTCCCAGCACTGGACTTCCCATTCAATGGGGAACCCATCTTGTTATACCTCTTGTTAGGAACAAGTCTCAAAATGCATTGTTTCTCTAGAACTCAACTAGAGTTCTAGAGAAACTACCCGTACTTTTATCCTTCACTCAACCTAAGCATACTTCTTATGTGGAGAGTAATATGTATATGCAACAAGTTGGATCGAACCAGCTTAACGATTGCTTCGCCATTGTAGTGAAGTCAACTTTCTCCTCCGTTTGATACTTCACATTCTAATCCGAGGAGTTTGTACTTCTCAAGTGCTGCATCCATGTTAGCTTCCCGTTTCTGAAGAGTTCACCTCACAGTATGTATGTATGTGCTTGGGTGTTCGTCTATGTTACTCATCAGGAGGTTGAAATTTGAATCTCCGTTTGTACTTCTAGATCCATCATCGGTTCGATTAATACTATTTTTTTCCTACTTCCCTTCTTTTTGACTCCACAGGTTCGAGAACTTCACAGAGTGCACAAAGTTCAGACACTCCTTATGGCCGAGATGAAAAAGAAAGATTCCGATATGCTTTCTTTCCCTTCCGGGACAACTCTTTCTCGATGCGGTCTTCCACAATCGCCTGCCGACTTTGCTGCTATCAGCTCTGGAGGCAAGAGAAATCTACATCGTGCTCTTGCCGGACAATTTTTGGACAATTCAACTTACAACTTGCAAGCGTCAGTCGCTTATGTAGAACCTTTGAAAGGCGGGGCGGAAATTCCACGAAATGAATCCGAAGTTCGCGCACCGACGCCGGAGATTAAGTTGTTTGGTAGTTCTGATCGTAGTGAGCGATTGACACCTGTTCGTAGAACCTTTGACTTGGAGCGACCTCCTGAAGATGATGATGATGAGCAAGAGAGGAAACAGGATGAACGTGTTCCTTTTACGCAGGAGACAATCAAGTTCATTGGACTACCTGAATATCGCTCTGAGCCTGAAGTGGAAGTGTCACTGAACTTGAACACGGGATGGGATCTTGGAAAGGCAGATAGAGTTGGCAGGGACTTCTTACCTTCTTCTCTTGCTGAGGAAGAGGAACGAGAAGTCGTGAGGGTGCCAAAGCGTCCGAGAGAAATAGAAGAAGCTGCATTGTTTCCATTTCTCACTGCAAAGACGGAAGCTCATGTTCGGGAATCTCCACTTCGTCCAACACCGAAGGTAGCAAGCCAGAATTTTTTAGGAGGGCTTTTCAATCTTCAGTTGGGGAGGAAGGACGAAACCCCTTTTAACGTGGATATTAATGCCACTGCGGAGGAGCCTGAAGTCGTGAAGAAGAAGGAGAAACTTTCCCTCAATTTGGAGGTTGATGAGAAGACTTTGCCTGTATCATCTCAACCACAACCGCATTGGCTTTTTCAAGTAAGGATTTTGTTTTCCTCTTTTCGTTCTTTGTACTTTGATGGAAATGGTTCATCATGCGTCACGGTTTATGTCGTCAGGGTTACTTTCCTGAATAAAGATTTGGATGTCGGAGCTCATGCGTTCACTCTCTTGTCAGCAGGGTAAAGTCGGGAGTAAAGCACCATGCAGTACCAAAGCTCCAGTATTGAGCTCGCAGCCCCCTTTGCCTCCTTCCGGTGGTAGTGAGCAAGGGATAATGAAGCTGAGAACCTCCTCGCTTATGGAAGAAGCTGGAAGCTCGGTTCCCAGGGATGGTCCGGTATGGGGTGGAGATCGGCAAGGATCTGGAAATATACCGAAATCTAGACCTCAGGCCTCTCACATGCAAAGGCAAGCTGATGAAGGAGTGCAACCGGGCGTGTACAGGCCGCCGTTTATCGCCGTGGGGGGGACAAATCCAACTGTTCCTGGTTATGCCTCATACAATATGGGGCAAGGAGTTGGAGATGGTTCTCGCGAGGGGCTTACACTATACTCGTCGTGGAGGGATGGCGAAGGTCCGAGCAATGGATTCCCGCATGGTGTGTTTGCCCCTAGTCATCCGCTTGCAGGTGGAATGCCGGCTCTTGGAATACAGCTGAGGAGTTTCGAAGCACATCCCAGCTTTGCACCTCAGGGTCTTGTTGTTGGACCTGCCGTAAATATGGGGACAGGTACTGCATCGTTCGTGGCAGACTCCAATTCTGGAGTATGGTACCAACAACGAAGTTCTTATTCTCAGTTTCAACAGTACCAACAACAACAGTTAGGATCTCTTCAGCCTCAAGCCGCTTGTTCTCAAGGGCCTTGGCAAGCACCTCTGCACATCCCTCCAGGTGGAGCTTATCCGCAAGGAGCTGTTTATGCTATCCCCGCTGGGGCAGGCTCGTCTATTGGACTCCCAATGGATGGCCTGAGAAGAAACAGGGAGGACCACCCAGGAGCCAATTGGCCTGCTGGAACTGTCGGGCCTCCCTTCACAACCTTCTCAATTGTTGCACCCCCGAAACCGCCCTTCAAGAGGCCGCCAAAGCTAGTCTTGACTCATGATGGCACGACAATGGAGCTGAAGTTAGTTTCACCTGAAAAAGGTGGCTTGAAAGTCGTTCAAGACAAGTCTTTTAGTGGATCTAGCGAAGAGGAACAAGGAGATCCTTCCAGAACCTTGGAAAGGAGGGAAAATCCATCTGTCGATGCCGTGCCTCAAAACCGTCCTGTGAAGGACAGGGATGACAACACTCTTGTGTATCAGGGTGGCGCGGTTCGATATCCCCGCGGAGGTAAACGAGAGAGAGATGAACGAGGTACCTCCAGCCCTATGAAAGAGAAGGCTAATTCTCCTCGTGGTGTGGAATGGGTAGAGAAACCTACGCATGGTTCTCTCGGCCGAGCTCAGGCAGGACGCAATCCAGGCCTGTCAGAAGGTGAGCCAGCTGTTGCACACGAGGTTACCGTCGAGGGGGTTGACGATGCAGATGGTAGTGATGGTGGATCCGGTGGATCCGGTGTTGGTGACGTTATAAACCCTGGGGAGCGTATGTCTCCTCCTTTGGGAACCTTTGCCACTGTAGGTAACCTTCCAGCTGGAGAAGGAGAGGAGGTCTTGCATATGGGAGAACTTGGAATTCAAGCAGACTCCGAATCGCAAGCCATGAAGGTGGATAAACCTTTCAAGTGTGTCCTGGGGACAAACATGAATAGAACCTCTTCTGAAGACAAGCCTCGTAAACATCAGGAGCTTCCCCAAGACCAACTAGCGACCTCGTATGCTAGTAACAGTTCTTTGGCAGGCCGGAAAGTTACTCGAGAGGCTTTCGAAATTTCAGAAGTCCCGTTGAAACGGATGAGAGTTCTGCAGAGCTCCACCGAAGAAGGAGGAGAGCAACCACCAAGTCATGCTTCACAACATCGGGCGCAGGAACAGTCGGCTACATCTTCTGGGTGCATCAGTAATATGCCGGAGAATTGTAATCGGCCTCATGGTATGTCTCCTGAATACCAAGGCTCAGATGAGTTGAGGAACGCGCAGCTCGACCTTCAACGGTCCAGCGGTTCCACCTCAGAGCCTAGAGCCAATCTATTGAAGTTGCAAGAGACTGGTAGTCACGCCAAGGACAGAACGAAATCGAAGGAGGGCTCTGAGCGTCAGATCGTTGACATGAATGTTGAAATACGAGGAAAGAATGACGCGAAGCGGAATAAAGCAGTCGCCTCCAGTTTCGGAGATGTTCATTTGCAGGAAGTGAAACCAGGCCACAGCAAGCAACTGTCAGGGGCAAGCATATCCTCGCCAGTGGGAGGCGAGAAGGGTGGTGCGCAGTACAATCCCCATAGTCCTGGGTTGCATCAGGTTCCAAGTCTTACAATGGAGGACGCGGAAGGGCAAGCTGAGGGCAGCTCTATAATAGTGTCACAAGCTTCAGAAACTGTTCAGGGAAACGGGAGGAGCCCCCTGAGAACAGGTGAGTGGGTTGCGCCAACAATAATGGAACAAGGCCACTTAGGTTCATCAGGGGGCATTAAGCATTCTTGTGAAGAAGTAGATGGGACACTGGTGGAAAGGCTACGGGGCGGTGGAATGGAGCAAAAAGGAAAGGATGTTTGTCCAGAAGGAAATGATTCAGCTAGTTTCAGTCAAAAAGATTTGGGCCAGTCTGATGCTGCTGCAATGGACACGACTGATCCTTCTTCGTCTGGCATGTGCATCTCTCAGACCACAACAAAAACATCTCAATGTGCTAAAGGCGATCCAATACCTGGACCAGGCGTGTCAAAGGGGCAGAGGCAGAACGCCGAATCCAGGAGGACGACAGCCTTAGCATCAGAGGTCGATGAAGGTGAGACCGACATCAGTGGTCTAAAGCACAGCAACCAGCCCGCAGTGCTGAACACAGAAAAACCTGAAGGTAGTATGGATGGCGACAAAGATTCGGTGAATTCGAGTAAAACCATCCATGAGCAGGACAGAATAAATGTAGCGAATGCCAGTGTATCAGGGAAAGTTCTACATGGTCATGGAGTGACTAGAAGCAAGAAGCTGACGGATGCCTCTTCGAATAGTAAGGTAGATATGGGTCCTGCAGCTCCCAGTGCTTTTGCTCCTAGCCCGCAATCCACAGTGTCCGGTCCTCCTATGAACAGACGTGTGCCCTCAGTGGCAGTCCAGGAAGAAGTGGATGATTTGTCAGAAAATCCTTGTGAGAACAGCAGTCTTGCTGCAACTTTGCTTCTAAGTCTTGCGCCTAAAGGTCCCTCCTCGTCCGGTTCCTATAGCAAAGCGGAGAAAAAACGTAGTCTGTCAATTCTGGAAAGAAGTACAGACAGGTCCAGTGATGCTGGCCACCTAAAGAGAGAGCCGCATGTGGCTTTATCTAAGGTGTCTCGGCCTAACTCAAGTTCGGTGTCATCGCACGTTGATCTAGGTCCCTCAGCATCAGTAAAGTCTCAGATAGGTATGCAAGTTGCTGGAATTTCGAAAGAGAATGATCGTCATACATCCCTCTCAAGGGGAGAAAAAACTATGAAATCCATGGAGCCGCAGTCACCGCCAAAGCTGGACTTTTTTGAGTCCGTTACTCTCATGTTGAAGGAGAGTAAGCTTCAAAAAGACAAGCCGATGTGTGGGAAAGACGCACAGAATCAGAGTAGTGATGTGCTGCAACCTCGTCAAACGACACATAGTAGTGGTACAAAGCCACTCAAAAAGAAAAAATGTATTAAGTCCTCACATGTTGACACTACCACGAGAAGGTTGACATCCAGGTCTAGAGGATCTGAAGATTGTCAGAGTAGAGAGCCTCTATCGGGATGCAGAAGCGAAAGTGGGCTACGTTCGGAGAATACTGGGAGTATGGAAACTGGCAACTATCCGCCAGTTCAAGGTCACGAGAAGAACAGTGGAAACGCAGGGGACAACGAAGACGCCATGTGTGGTATACCCTCACAGCAGGCTTCTTTGGACCAGGATGGTGAAAGTTCCAAAGGTGACTCCATGGACACGACCCCTCAGAGGTCTTTTTGGGGAGATGCAAGTCGGCGAAAGCGGATGCAGCGACCTAGAAATGCTGTCCTTCCACAGGCACAGCACATTGTACCGCCTCCGAGGAAGGTAGGTCACTGAAGGTTGTAGTTCGCGTTTGAAACTTCGATGCCTTGAACTGTAGGTGTACATTGTATGGTTTGGATCTGAACGGTCTTGTCCTGTTATCAAACGGATTGATCTCGCAAGGAAACCATGACGGTGGTACCAATCTTACATTGGTACCCTAGTTGAGAACAGCACAAGTGGTCAACTAGTTAGGAGCTATTTGTTGTTTTTAATTGGGCAAAAGACACCGGTTGTTGGAGCCTCAAATTTTGATCCTTCTGGGAGCATTCATTATTCTGTCAGCTCCATCGTTTTACTGTGTATTGTGCGGGTGGCCTTCTGGTATGGTGGTCCACTAATATCAATAAAAGTCGGCAACATGTGCTATAGTATTTCATCCGATCAGGGTATCGCTCGTTGCGGACGATGCCCGAAGTATATGAGGCATACATCCAGTAATGAATTGAGTTGTATCCATCAAAAGACAGATTTTGATATCCGCCAGTAGGACCTTCATCGCTAGGAGATTTTTCGGAAAGAATGGCTAAAGTGTTCATTTTTTTAGATCACTTTGCTACCTCCAAGGCATGCGACAGTACTCTGCCATGAAGTGGTACTTTTTCAACGAAGACATATCATTAAATGTTGTGCAAATCTGCCTCTCTTCTGCGGAAGTCAAGGTACCCATGTGTAGGCCTAGTTATATGTCGCTTGTGTGCAGGATGATGTAGCAGTCAACAAATCCTTGATAGATTTGAGTGTGGTGTAATGTCATGTTTTATAGGGAGTATTTCTGTTGGTTGTTTCCTGGTTCAAGATCTCTTAGTTCTGGAGATACATGCGAACTACTAATTGACACCATAACGTGGTATACGTGTTCGTAATTCTCTTCAACTCGTGAACTGAGTCAAGGCAGTAGGCTTCAGGATGTCTTTCTTTGACGTATACGGTTCAGACTTAGGAAACCTCAAACAACTACCAGAGACGATAAACTTCGAATAATCATTTGCTTTTATTACTACTTAACTGTCCGGGATATTGTGTGTAATGATTCCTTGAAAACATCTGTGAAAGCTAAACTTAGATCTTGAAAGTGATATTTCCCTGTTTTATGTTTTCAATTTGTCTGAAAACCACAAATCCACTTATATATCTTTGATTAGTGTTTTGAGCCATGTGTCGAATTAGTGTAGTATTTGCGTATTGGTTTAAGAAAATAAACCAGACAAACTAATCTCCACTTGTGAGGCAATAGGTCTGGTGTTTGGCAAGTGCTTCGTGAAACAATGATTCCACGAATGTGTCTCGATACTTCGTTGGACATGAAGTTTTTAAGGAAGACTCGATTGATGTCGTGAATGCAACAAAACGAGATGATATAGGCAATATTTCACAACAGACGGTGGATAGTGGAGAGACCAAATTTGATCACATTTATCTTTAAAACAAAGTTTATTATACAACTGAACGTAGCACATGCTTGGGTCCTGGATAAATGTTGTCCTTTGTGAAATGCACCAAGTTTCCATATTGGACCAAATTATCCACAATGCAATTTTTCTTCAGTTGCTACATTCGTATAATGTACTGCATGTACGCCAAGATACTAGTTGAAAAACTAATGATACCGATAACGTCTAAAAATCTAAGACCAACATTTAAAGCCCAAGAGGACAAATGCACAACAAAATGTATGTCGTAACCCATCAAGAAAAGAAAAGTAAACCAAGGCCTAGTCCAAAATTTTTGAGTTGTGTTGTTAAGATTTTAAGTATCACTACATTATGGAGACTAGCCCATGGTAGTAGTATTGTTAGAAGAAATATGTTTATTAGTAACTTAAAATCTGAAACATGTACATCAAACGATTGAAAAAAAAGAAGAGTATCTAGTGATGTAATTTTACCTTACAATGTTCTCACTATGGAACAATGATGACACAACTTCATTGTTTTCCAATGAAACACTATAACTAGCTATGAAACACTAACTATACATAGCGAGAGAAAGTGATAATCTTGTTTGCCGTTTATGATAGAATTCTAGTGCATTGCGGTGAAGATAAAGTGGCAAGTTTCACATCAAACCACTTTTGATCAAGCCACCCGCGTATAAGCTATGTTCATAGCTTTTATATATAAACTCATATTCCTGTGATGCACACCCCATTCCATTATTATCCTTAAAATATTCTATTTTGTACGTTGTATATGCTTATCAACGTGTCAATTGCATCCCATTAAAATGTGCATTAAAATTATTTTTTACTGTCTCATGTTATTGTGTACACACTTTATCATTTTATGTGTAACTTGTCATCATCAAAGATACTATAGTTCATGAGTTATAGATGAGTAACTCTATGTTGATCTTGAGATACATAAGAAGAAGATAAATTTTTTCTTTGATAAATTATATATCAATTCCTGTTGAAATCTAGAAAAACATATTCTCGTGCGTATATAAATGAAAGACGAGACTCGTTCTGAAATGCCGCTTCTGTTCTCGGATATGGTACTTCGACTGGTACTCATTCTTCACGATTACCTCATGGCTCCGATCGCCTGAAGCCCACGCAAAGAAACAATCGAGATGGTTGCCGCTCCCGTCTCCAATCTTCGGTAGCCGGTCGGTAGCCGGTGCTTGGAGACGTGGCATGGCACAGTCGTCCGGCGATGTCGTGGTGAAGCGCGGGCCAGAAGAACGCAGTCGGTCCGACGCAGTGCGCGTGCATGCCGGTCAGAGACGATCAGGCGTCGAAGCGGAGCTTCAGCAGAGGACGAGATTCGTCTCCCGCCCTCAAGACGAACAATTGCTCGGATCCGAATCCTAGCTTGCTTGCCTGCCATTGTGCCAGCTCTGGACTGTTCTGTGTGTGTGCGTCGTTGCGCAAGTGACTGATTGACGTACGTCCGAATTTGCCTCGTGCACGGAAGTGGAAGCTTTTCGGACCGAGGTTGGAGAATTGGGGAGGAAATTCCTGGGATTTCTCCGGACCTCAGATTGTGATGTAGCTGCAATTGTGAGATTTCAAGAAAGTGCCGCCTTCTGACCGCGGTGAGAGAACAGTCGAGCCGAGTGAATTTTCTTTTGTTGCCGCTGCTGCTGCTCAGCGTCGTGAAGCCGACCGAGTCTACTGACGAATTGTTGAGGTGCTCTACTACGGACACGAAATCCCATCCACCCTCGACATTTTTGGAATCCGAATTCCTCAGCTGACATTTTGACTCTGTTTGTGGGAGTTGGGTTTTTTCAGCTCCGGGAGCATCGACCCATGGCGCAATCCTGCTGCCAGGCCCTGTCACTGCAAGTGGGAAGTTCAGGGCCCGTTTCAACGCATGAAGGGCAAGTGACTAGCTCTGAATCCTCGTCACGAGACGCCATCCCTTCTCGGCTGCTCCGCTCCCAATTTCGCGGAAATGCTCTCCATCTTCGAACTAGCTCAGCTGATGTCCGCAGTGCTGCCCCAGCGGGCTGCTCTGTCACCACCCGAGCCTCGTACGTCAGCCCTGGTTGGTCGTCGCCGTCCGGTGCAGGAGGAGCTAAATCTCCAGGGGTGAAAAATTTCGAAAGAATTGGCGAGTGCTTAGTGTACGCCGCTTTTCCGAATAATAAGAAACCGAAGGGAATCATCCAATTTCTGGGAGGGGCTTTCATAGGCGCATCTCCTGATATTACCTACCGGTAATGAATGAGCTCAGCGTCCAAGTTCGCCTTTGCCTTATGTCTGATTTCATCCTTTGCTAGGCTGTGAAGCAAGATGGAAGCTTGTGGACCAAAATCTGACGTTGAAGGTTTTTTTCTCGTGTTTATGCCGTGGTTGCGTTCAGCTATTTTATCGAGCTCTTGCGGAAGGAAAATTACATTGTCGTGGCAGTTCCGTATAACGTTACATTCGATCATACACAATCTGCTCGGCAAATCCATCAGAAATTTAATAGTACATTGAACTTTTTACGACGTGACGGTGTCCCCTTCAATCGTCTTCCTCCAGCAGAAGTTTCGGCACTTCCAATCTTCAGTGTTGGACACAGGTATTGTAGTCCCTTAACATTCGTCAAGGAGTACCCCTCGTTGTTCGCAGCGCACCCTCCGGATGGATTGTCATGGAGTGGAAGGCAAGGTTTTCAAGATTTACGATCCTAACATTGAGACATTTTTTATCTGCAGCAATGGAGCTCTGATGCAAGTCCTTATGGGCAGTTTATGTTATGAAGGCCAGCTTCCCAAGGTTTTCGTCAACCCTTTCCAACAATCCGATCTCCAGTTTTTCCCTCGGCACTGGGACTTTCTTTGACAGTTACAGTAAATAGAAAGCAGGAGTTTCTACAAATTGTGTGTGAGATTAAGCTCTCAAGGCCTGAACTTTCCTGAACCCTCTGGTAACGAGTGGTTTTGATCTGGTTTTTGCTCCAGGCAAATGCAGTTATATCGTTCAACAACAAGCCTGCTTCAGATGCTGTACCTTTCTTTGAGCAGGTAAATTTGTAAACTCTCACACTCGTCGCATGTCGACTGAAGGGAATATGTTTAGGATCGGAATGCTTTCGAGCCAAAAACAGGTTGATGAATGTAGGAGTACAAATTTATCTGCTAAGAGCTTTTGATTTTTTTCCTTGTCACAAATTATGATGTTTTTTGTCAGAGAGAGTTTTTAAATGAAGTAATGAATCATGCGCGTCTGGATTGAGCAGATGGGTCCAGCATTTCAACAGGCTTCTCCGATGTTCAACTCGTCGCCCTTCACAACCTTAGGAGCAACTTTTGCAGGTAAAAGTCTATGAACACAACCAGATCAACAACATACCAAACTGTGCATCAATTTTCCTCTGAAAGACGACCGGAATATGATGGATGACTTTACTATTCCAGGGCAGCATTCCTTTTTAACGTGTTATTTTTTTAATAATCTGTTGTACGTTTGGGCAGCGCGAGCGCTGGAAGTCGCCAGAAATTCCTCAATTCCCTTACCTCCTGGCGTGGGGCAGGATGACCTACAATCGGTTCAAAATTTCATTGAGCAAATCCCTGGTGTTTTCAATGAGGTGAATTTGCTGCCCAAAGTTCTTGATGCCCCACTCATTTTCATGTATCTGTCGTCTAAACTGCGCGTGTTTCATAATCTGAACGTTTCTCTTACAAAATATCAGATACGAGGTTTGAGATACAGGAACATTGAAAACACCTATACATCTCTTGCAGGTCACTGGAGGCGTTTCAGAATTCACGCCGACCCCTGCTGAAAACCGGAGAACTATATCAACCAGATATCAAATACCGAACAATCTTCTGGTATAAATTCCTACAACTCAGAAGGCAACTGTTTTCTCTGAGTATCCGGTTTTGATGAAGAGTATAGACTGTCAGGCTTTAGCACAATAATTTCCCGACTACGCCCGGCAATCTTTCGTCGTCTGCTTCCAGGATCGCATTTTAGTTCTTGAAGAAGAGTCGTCGGCCTGAATACATCAATTACAAATACAAATACAAGTAATTACGAATGTGACACATACAAGGACTTACACTGTGTGTAATGTTCACAGATAAAGTTCACAGATGATACGATCGATGAAACCGATCGAGTCGAAGAAGCAATAAGGAATCGTTCAATGTCAAGCGGCGGTGTCTTCAGGAAGTTAGTGCTAAAAGGAACCCATGCGACGCCTCTTGCGCAGGTATATCCGCTCACTCTCACCGGGCTTTGTTATCCTTCTATGATATGTTGACCCATGTTCAAACGAAGCCTGTTCTTCAGCGTATGTAAATTTTGTTCATCACGTTATTGCTGAAAGTGTCTGAAGTTTGGGAGACAGTGGCAAACCTCACGAACCTGCGAGACTCTTGGATCTTATCACCGTTCATGTCGCATGCCTTCCGTTTCTACGGATCTTCTCTCTCGTGCATGTTTTGTGAGGCTGACATTGTTTTCAGTCTCTCTGGCTATCGTTTGTACTTGATGTGGGTACCATGCCTTCAGGTTTCCTACATGCTTGGGGTCGAAGGTGATGCTCGTAAATGTTTGTGCATATCGCGTTTATTAGCCATTTTGGTTCTCTGAACGCTCTTAAACAACGCATTAACTTAGACAGTACGACATCGTTCCTCCTAATAAGTTGTCACCTGTCAAGTGTGCTTTTTCGTTTGAATCCACATACATCCTTATGCATATCTATGTGCAGGACATACGATGGGACGTCGGTGTGTACTCTCCGGTAGATGCAGTGGCTCAGGTCGTGAAGGACAGATCGTTGGTTGATTTACGCTCGCTCGTAAGAAGTGTAGTGGACTTTTTTGACAGTCTCTCCTGATGTAAATACAACTGTAATGTAAAGACGGGATCCTTGTAGTATGAAATGAAGGTACATTTTGTTCGCATATGCTCATGATTTTGAAGGTCACTAGAGTGGAGAGTTTAATATACCAGTGGGTGCGTGAGCCAATGCATTTGATTCACTACTGTGGCTGGAAATTTGATTCTGCACGAGAAATGGCACGAGAAAGAAGTACTCTTCGAAACCATTTCGAAGAGTACTTCAGGTGAATGTTGGTGTGAAACTATGCTGAACCGGACTGTATGGATTCTGTTTGTATCATGAAGATTTGTAAGTAACGAGAGAAACCTTGCGTCCAAGTCCTGATGCACTTTTTAACCAGAGAAAGTGGGCTGAGGCATTTCAGAGGATGTCGGATGTCGGTTTGGTCCACGTAGTGTCCATACCGGAACAATTATTTGCTGTCGTGTCATTGCATAAGGCGCTAAACTGCGGGGAGTATCTTACCAATGTCCATCCATCTTCAGCCCGTGCACAGAGGCTGGGGATGTCACATGCAGAAGAAGAGTACCAACAGCAGGAAAAGCTTGAAAATAAGCAGCTGGCAGGATCTCCACTTTTTAACGGGGAGTATCAACACCTTTTTGGCGGCCTAGGAGATTCTGGGAACCATCAACTGACATTGGAAAACGGTTGCAGCTCCTCGGCTGCAGAGTGCCACGTTTACCCACCCCCTTGAAGTACTTTCCAGCAGTCTGTATCAAGTAGTGCACTTGCACTTCTTGCTACAGACTGCTGGAAAGTACCCACGCTGCATAAAGAATTACGAGCAGGAGTAAATGACAAAAGTCGTTCATCTCACACAAAGTTTACCCCTGAGAAATTGCGATCAGCCTATTGCTTCAGTTGGGTACGGTGAGGATGTGTTGCGAGTCTTCACTGAGAGCCTTTCTCCCACCGAGAGAATCGAGTGTGAGAGATTGGCTTCGGCTTTTCATTCGTGTTTTAATTTTCGGACATGGCCAACTGTCGCAGTTTGGCAAATGAGGAAACTTAGTGACAACGCCTTCAACTCTCCTCTTGCAGCATGCGAGCAACCGACAACTGCCATCTACAACCGCCAAATACTCCAAATTAGATTGGAGCCCGAACTTTCTGATTTTAGTAGAAGCCAGAGGAGATCTGAAACCTCCAATCGCTGTGAGGGTGAGAAGCTGAACGTGCACTTGCTCATGTCTTCGTACCAACCGTCCAAAGTAACTTACAGAGAAAACAGCGTTCATACAATCCACAGAGTCCGCAATTGACTAAGTTTCATCCAAGGTGATCATGCCAGTACCTTGTGTCTGGTTCGCTGAGGCCATCAACTGCAAAGGAAAGTGCGAAAACAACCAGCAACATTCATGGCAAGCCGAAAGAAATCTTATGATTCTTTTGTATACAAAAATGCTCGATCGACATGCGTTGACAGATCCCTTGGTGTGAAAGACTGATCCTCTCTTCGTCATGCAGCTCTTGTCAGTGCAAGAAGACTGCATGACCGATGGTGCTCGAATCCAGTTTGACGTGGGTCTCAGATCGTGGTCAGCAATGTCCGATTGTCATTGTGGGCTACTCCCTCATGCTTCAAGTATATCTCTCATCTCCTACGAGAATGACCTCTTGATGACGAGGTCATAAACTCGTTTCTCTCCTCAGTAATGTAGAACTCCGAGGATAGTAGCATTGAAGAACAGTGTGCCTGAGGATAGAAGGTGTATATCTACGTAATTGTTCAAATGTATCATCGAGCTGCCCTCACCAATATCGTTCGTGTCCGGTATCTGATAATAAGATAGAACATATCATAAAAAGATTATAACTTGAGTAACCTTCGAAGCCATTAATATAAAGATGATATTTTAACTATTATAGCATTAGTGCTTTCAACTTAAATGAGAGTTGTTTTTGGAATCTTAGAGCAATCGGAATGTGTTATGATTCTAATAGATATGAGTCTTCACTGAATTGTAAGATAGTGTATAATCTACAATTTTAGTAGTATGATTCAAGAGAATTAGCAAAGATAAGAATGAAGAAATAAACATTAAACACAACTTAGTTGCAAAACAATTATGCGTGAAGGTTGAGTTACAATTACCGTAAAGTCTATATGAACTAAATTATGCTAAATTCTCACTAGTTGCAATAAATCTGGAATTAAAGAGATGAGGAAGAAAGGAGAGAATACAACTCACCAATAATGAAGAAAAAAGAATTAGACGTTACTCCAGTGAATCTCATGAACATTGTTTCGCTGAGGTTACAATGTCCGTGCAAGAACACTAAGGAAAACTGACCGTCGTATGTTTCGATACTACTAAGCATGATGGCTTAATAGAAATAGCTGAGTACAACCTTTGAACCTAGTCCGTGTAGGAGAGCTTGGTGAAGAGAAAATGCGAGATATAAACTTTAGTGAAGTGAGACATTTTCCAAAATGTTGGAGTCCGTTTTGTGTAGATTGGATGAATGTCCAAACACGATGTTAATCTTTATTTAAAAATGCGATACAATCAAAATGGACAACTAAAAGGTTTCAAAAGACTCGAATATTGACCATAAAGCAAGCAACGAAGTACAGAGAAAGACAAGAAAAATTCAGAGCTAATAATGAAACATGGAGCCAAGTTTATATGACAAAAAAACCCTTGATTGAGCTGTATCGAGATGAATCCAATCTGTAACATGGATCATAGAGCTAGTCTCCAATTACATCACAACGAGAATAATCCTCGATTGCGCCTTAACATATATAAACCATCAAGTGCAAGTGGTTTGAAAATAAGATAAGAATACGAAGAACATCATCCAAAGAAAACAAACTTTGAGCTACAGAAACAAAGACAAGTGTTGTCTCTCTCTGAAAACATGTCAACAAAGACAATAACTCCATATCGATCCAAAACCCAAAACAACAACTGCTGAGCATGTTAGCCGATGCTCACTCCTTTCAGACGTTGACATCTTGGGCAGCTAGAGACTCGACCATGGTGCATGGAAAGTGATGAATGAGATCGACAAACTTAATTTGCAGCAAATGCGACATCTGGTGGAAACTGGTGCAAAATAGTTGGGTCTTTGGAGCTGAATAGGAGGTAAATCTCGAGACATGGACATGGAATTAGGGATGAATATGGTTTATATCACGGCCATAAGGACCATAAGAAAACCGAAGGATGGCGTACAGATCAGAGGGACAATGTCTTTTGAGATATGAGGAAGAGGATCGAGGATCGAGGTTGAAGGCTTTGTCGTCAGAAACCAAACCGTCGGTTCTTTCTCGTTCTCGTTCTCATGGACCAGAAAATGCTTCAGACACAAACGTAATAGTAAGAGAAGCAATCGGTGCACCCGAAGCACAACGTCATGTACCCAATTCCCCCCAACCCCAAAATTCCCATGCATCATTCTCCTGGGGCGGTTCACAAATCTCGACCCTCTGAGCCACTTGTGTCCAAGTTCAGCCACCCAAATCTGCCGACTTATCGCATGAGTGACGTCCACGCTCACGCCTGGATGGATCTCTGCTGCGAGTGCACATCTCGTAACCATAGATGCCGACCCCGACGGTCAACCGTCTTCGTGGAACGCTGGAAATCTTTCATCGTCGTTGTCGTTGGATTTCACGTCCTTATCCACTCATTGCACGCCAGGAGGGGCAGGAGGGGCAGCGGATGTGGATGGAATGGAATGCACATTGTCGTGATCGATTTGCCAAGAGAATGCTCTTGGACACAAAGGACGGAGATTCAGCAGCACTTTGACGAAAAAGCCAAAAGCCAGAGATTTGTTCGCGAGCAGCCTCGTCTAGCCTTTGGATAGATCTGGCCGAGCGAGGAACGAGGTCCGCAGGCGTCGATTTGGCGTGGCATTAATGGCAGCTCGCGAGTCGTGCGGGAGCTTGGGGAGCTGACCAGCACGGAGACATGGAGTGATAGGCGCATTGCTACGAAGGCCGGAGACTCGATGACCCGCCCATTGGTTCCGACCTGGTGGGGGCGCGGTGACACGTCAGGAGATAGTTCGCGTTCGATTTTCCTAAAGCTCTGCGGTCCAGAGCCGCCCCGAGGCTCAGATATTCGAGCAGCGCCTCCTCTAGCTTCGATTTTGCCATTGGAGCCGCTCGGCCCACGACTGAAAGCGCAAGATTTGGGGCTCGCTGCCCACTCTCGACACGTATGTCTGTGCCCGGCTCGCGAGTCGGGAGAGGGAGCGACATCGCTTTCGGACATCGTCGTCGTCGTCACCGCTCTGGGAAGTCGGTCGTCCGCTAGCGAGCTGCGTAGAGCGATGCGTGCGTGTGCTGGTAGTTGCTAGCTCGGCCCGTCGAGGGCTTTCGCCAATCGAGCCATTTTCATTTGCTTGCACCGCCAAGACAGAAAGAGAAAGCGTGCGGAGGGAGAGAGAGAGAGAGAGAGGACGAGCGAGCGGGGCGGTGGCGAAAAGGGAAGGATTCGGTGAAAGAAGGTATGGTGGATGGTGGGAGGACGGGAGGTTTGTCTCGCAGCATTCGGGGCCCAGCGAGGAAAGAGCAGCCATGAAATCCCTAGGCGGCAGGAAATAGGCATCAATCGGCGAGCAGGGCCACTTGCAAAGCCAGAGAGCGAGGTCGAAGATCCGATCGTCGCACGAGATCCGCGAGCCGCGAGCGAGCTCGATCAAAACACAGCAACTCGGGACGAGTCACGGGGCTCTGCGATTGTATGCTCGTGAGAAAGGGACGCAGCGGAGCGAGGAGGTCGAGCCCAGAGTCGGAGGATGGTCAGCAGCAGACATTGAGTAGAACTACTTCATTCGCGCACGCATAGAGTGAGAGAGATAGAGAGACACAGAGACAGAGACTGAGAGCCATAGAGAAGATCGTGCCACCACGAGAGGCAGCGGCATGGAGTAAACCAGCGAGCGAGTCAGGCAGAGGATCGAAGCTTCTCGTGGTGCCGAAATCTCGAGGCGACCGCGAGAGAACAAGAGCAACGTCGTCGTCGATTTCGTCGGGGCAGATGGCGGCCCTCGCGCAGGGGTCGCTGCCAGGGTGCCGAGAGGTTGTGGCATCTGCCTCGTTCTCGTTCTCGGCCGATTGCGTGCGCAATTGCTCGACATTCCGAAGGAGCTCGACATTCGCGCACGGGCTCTCGTCGGCGAGAAGGCAGGCCCTCGTCGCTCTGCGCAGCAGCAGCACGAGCCCGCGGCGAGCAGGAGCAGGAGTGGGCGCAGGGCGGAGAGTTGGCGCCGTCGCGTGCGTCCGATGGCGAGGCCTGCCGCCGTCGCGGGACCGGGGCAGGGACTGGCGCGCGAATTGCACGCCTCTGAGCGTGCCTACGGAGAATCCGGGCTCTGACGACACGCCCTCGACGTCGGCGGACTCGGAGGAAGGCGCGCCCATGAGGAAGTCGCGATTTCGGCTGGTGCAGGCGCTGCTGGGGTTCATGGCTGGGCTGTCGAAGCGGCTGTCGCCCATGGGGCTGGCGCGCGCCGTCTGGGGCTTCCTGCGCGGGCGCTGGCCGCAGCTCCTGCTCTGGAGCATCGTCGGGAGCACGCTGGGTCTGGGGCTGCTGTGCTCGAGGCTGACGGGCGCCGCGGCACCGCGACTGGTCGCCTACTCGGACCTGGTCGACCACCTGCAGACGCGCACCGTGACCACGGCGCTCTTCGAAGAGGGCTCGAGCAACGTGTTCTTCAACGTGGCGGACGAGAGCGCCCCCGTGGCAGGCGCGGGGGCGCCGGCGTGGCAGTATACGGCGCGGCGCGTGCGCAACGACGAGACGTTTCTGCTGACTGCTATGCGCGACGCCGGCGTGAAGTACAGCTCCGCGCCGCAGTCGATGAGCGCGTCGCTCAAGGCCGTGCTGATCACCGTCGTGACGCTGTGGATCCCGCTCAGCCCCCTGCTCTGGCTGCTGCACCGGCAGCTGGCGCAGACGGGCGCGTCGTCGCAGCGAAGGAAAAAGAGCGTGAGCAGGCCGGTAAAGTTCGACGATGTGGCGGGCGTGGATCTGGCGCGCGCCGAGCTCATGGAGATCGTGTCGTGCATGAAGGGCGCGTCGCAGTTCGCGAGCCTCGGCGCCAAGCTGCCCAAGGGTGTGCTCCTGGTCGGCCCTCCCGGCACCGGCAAGACGCTGCTGGCGCGCGCCGTGGCCGGCGAGGCCGGGGTGCCCTTCTTCGCCGCGTCCGCCAGCGAGTTCGTCGAGATGTTCGTTGGCCGCGGAGCGGCGCGGATCCGCGAGCTGTTCGCGGAGGCGCGCAAGAGCACGCCGTCCATCGTGTTCATCGATGAGCTCGACGCCGTGGGCGGGCGGCGCGGGCGCAGCTTCAACGACGAGCGCGACCAGACGCTGAACCAGCTGCTGACGGAGATGGACGGCTTCGACTCGGACTCAGGCGTGCTCGTGCTGGCGGCCACCAATCGCCCCGAGGCCCTGGACCCGGCGCTGTGTCGCCCCGGCCGCCTCTCGCGCCGCGTCCACGTCACCGAGCCGGACCAGCTCGGCCGCCAGCAGGTGCTGGCCGTACACATGCGCGGCATCCCCGTGCTCGAGGACCGCGCCCTGCTCGAGCGCGCCGTCGCAGCCCTGACCCCGGGCTTCGTTGGCGCCGACCTCGCCAACCTCGTGAACGAGGCGGCGCTGCTCGCCGCCCGCAAAGGCAACTCCTCCGTCTCTCTCGAGGACTTCCGCGAAGCCGTCGATCGCGCCAAGTATGGCGTCGGCGAGCGCCGCCGCAATGTGTTCGACGAGATGGAGCAGAAGCTCGGCTCGTGGTTCAATCGAGCCCGCTCGGATTCTCCCGGCTACCCCGCCCTTCCTGCCAGTGGCTAGTCGCCGTGCGAATCGTCGGCCTCAATTCTTAGATTAGTGTAAATTTCGAGCCGAAGCCATAGCTGGGCTGATGATGGTCTCCTGTAAAGCTCTCCGACCCATCCGACCCTCTGGTACAGCACACGATCGACTTCCCGTCCCGCCTGCGGAACTATCCTGGACACGATGCAATCAGCGCATGGCGATGAATGAGGCGGCGCTAGTCTCGATCCATCCGTCACTCCACCTTTTCTATTCCCCTGCCAGTCACAGGTCCCTCTGCTTCGACCGTGGTCTGCGAGTTGCTTTGGGCTCTCGTGAACCATAGTCGGATTTTCTCAGAATTATATTGGCCCGTGCTTGCTCTGTTTGTGCTCGATGATGCAACCAACCGGTTCATTCTGTCCTTGCACGAGTAGACCGACCGTGGAGAAGTAGCTTCTGGCCCGGACGCAGGCCGTCTGTGACCGCAGCTCCGAGAGCTCGCCTCGCTTAGTTTTAGTGTGAGGTCGTCTCGCGGATGGACATCACCCCGGAAATCTGGGTCACAACTCATAAGCTTCAATGAAGTAAAACTCGAGCTGCATGGGTACGGCCGTATTTGGACATTTTGCCCAGAGCTCTTATCAATTTTGTTGTGCTTGATTTCGTTTTGATTGACTTGTTCTCCAGCCTTTACTGTGTCTGATTGAGATCGTCCACCCTTACTGCTGCTTGAATCGATCACCAAATGACCGGATTTGTGACCTCCAGCTTGGATCAGGTTTTGATCTGAAGTCTGCCTCGATTTTTTCCCGAATTGCTTGAGAAAAGAGTCAACTGAGGTAGCCGTGGCTGATGTGACGGATGGCAGGAAGGAATGATGGACTGCATTTTCTATTTTCACTCATTTACGTTGTCATGCACATAAGTGACAGCAGGCGATGATGAAGTGTATCACGTCGAGCAGATACTTAGGCACGGGCTCGATTCAGCCCCGTGTACAGCCGGTTGAGTTTTTGAGCTTACGAGTTTATGACATGGAGACCAACGGGACAGCTTCACTGGATCTATCTCCGGGAACTGTGGAAATCTTATGATGAACGATACTCTCGACCGATAAGAAAATCGGGAAATGGGGATTGTGTTTCACCGTGAAGACATCGACGAAAACAGCAGTGGACCTGCCCACTGATGTCTTAGGTCGAAACTTTAACACGACAGGACAGCCCTTTTGCTAAGGGAGGAGTGCGAAATTTTGGAGGAGTGCGAAATTTTGGATGAACTGACGAAGATGACCATCATCTGACTCTCGTCTTCTTTCGAAGTTCGAGTTGGCTGGTGGGATTTAACTCGAATTTTAGTGACCATGAGGCTGCATTCGTCTGCAATTTGCAGCCAGCCTTTTAGGGTCAGGGGTTTATCTTGCGAGCCCTCAAGATATTAGGACAGCACTTGCTTGTTGCACGGTCGGCTTGGTAGACCAGTATCCTTGTAGGCGGATGAGCGGAAAGAAACTGAATGAATGGTTTTACTGCTTTTGCTGCTTGAGCTTTTTGTACCCACGCATGCAACTCACGCAGCAGAAAGCCACTCATCTCATCCCTCCACCACGCCAACACTCACGTATTGCTGCAAAACTTATTGTACGAACTGCCTGCTTCATCACCTCCGGACCAAGGATCGATCTCATGAAAGCAGATCTACAAGACCCACAATCGAACTGACCATGAACCTTCCCATAGACCTACATGAGGCAATGTGAACGGAGAAACCAAGTCTAATGAATTCTAGATATGATCATCTGGGCTGCTACAAGGTCCCGGTGCGAATGTAAGGTCCAGCAGTAGAGATCGAGGTTTGATTAGGCACGTGCAAGCAAGGCCTCTCTGCATCGGAAATCCCGAACATAATAACTCAGACGTAATTTAGAATTGGAGATAGCACCGTCTACAATGGAAAAAAATCTCCTGAGTTCGACTCGTCAGACGACGACTAAATTTTGGGAAACTTCAAGTACAAGTGTGAGATGAGTTAAAAAATTTGATCGGTTCACTTCACCGTGAGCGAGCACGAAGCATTCACACTGACAAGACAGTTGTACACGAAGAAAATTTTATTTCACCCGGGAATCTGTGCAGTGACGGAACCATCATCAATGTTTGGTTTTGGAAATTGTGAAGTATCAAAATTGGCCCTCAAAGATCGGCGGAGCGAGGGGTGCTGCAACGAGGGGTGCTGCTGCGAGGGGTGTTCATCCTACTAGCGGTCATTTCTTGGAGGTGGTGGATTTTGGAAGCCAGGCCCAAGCCCATCAGTCTCGGAGTGAGCATGGCCAACTCTTGTCTCGTCTTGCCGATTTCGCGATCGTAATGGATTTTCCACTGATCGAACTTCTCTCGGAAGTTGGCCAATTCTTCTCTGGCAGTATCCACCTCCTTGTGATATGCCGGTCTCTGCGCAAGGCCGCAGTGGCCTCTAATCTGCAACCCCAACGAAGAGACCTCATGCTTCTTCGGTCCACTTCCTTGCAATTGCTCTCTCAGCGGCTCTCGTATGTGATCCATCCTCTGCTGATTAAACAGCGACGAAGGAGCCGCCATTGTTTCCGAGGCTTTGTTCTTCTCAGATCGAATGTGTGTGAAATTTTCTCTTCCTCGCGAGCATCAACGAGTCCGTTTACATAGTTGCCTCAGTCGCCGACACTCGAACTTGACCTGGAAATCGTTTCCAACTGATTGCCAACTTCTCCGCAGTGTCATCCACAAATCTTAGAGTTTGTGACTTGCGTCTATGCGGCACTCCCGATCGAGAGAAGTCAAGTCATCGACCGCTCGACCCTCAGGAAGTAGCCGATTGCGACACCATTGCCGGTTCAGTCGCTATCTCCGGGGGCGTGGATCGAGACACTCTTTGATATCTGTTGTGAAGCTCGTGTCGAGACAGATAGAAAGAGATGCGCATGTTCTCGAAGAGACGTCTGGAGATGGTTCATGTCTTCTTTCTTGTTCAAGTTCAGATCCTCTTTGGGCATGAATGCTGCTGCCTTCTCGCGCTCAATTGACCGACCACGCTCTCACCCACCGACGATGAATCCCGCCCGAACACATTGACCGATGTCACGAGTTATGCGCCGGGGATACAAAAGTGACTTGACTCGGCTGAAGCTGATCGTCACGAGCACACTCGCCGCAATGCGTGGAGTTGTCTGTGCTATAACACGAAAGCTGTGCATCGGATTGGCGTGAAAGCTCCTTCGGCCTTCGATTGACTTGACTATCCGTGACGACCGCACAGACTACGCCATCGCTGTACTAACAACTCTCAATGCTTCAATCCGGAGCCTCTTAGACAACCACAATGCTCGAGGAGTGATTTTCTGGTTAAACCCCTCCCTCAGAGTTGACTCCACTTGCAGCACGATAGTGCACAATACGCAACGAGAGAATTTCCATTCCTCCGTGCGTTTCGCTGCAGGAATTCTGCCACTGAAGTACTCCTCCGGTTGAGTGAAGAACCTCCATTCATGTCACCAGGTCAAACTCGATCCGGTCTAACTACAGACTCTGCGCTGCCCCACTGGAGTGTTCGAGATCATATCACACTGTTGCTGGGCAAGAAAAACTCCTGACACAATTCTCGTGAACCGAGCCTGAGTACGAATGCAACCAGAAATACAAGACAGTTTGAGGAGTGACGGGGAATCCATAGCAGGGTAGAAGTGTGGACAGACACCGGCGTCCACTCGACAGAGAAAGCCATAATCCAATCCACAGAATCCACATGTACGAGGAACTGGTGAAATTAATAGCGCCATTCAAGGTCTTTAAAGTAGGACGTGACGGGCAGGTCTATTAAGCATCACTCCTGAAGAAGGGAGCATGTGTACAATTCGAGGTGCAACCCCGAGGAGCGCCATCTTCGTTGTCATAAGACAAGACTTATGAGGGAAAGGCAAAGAGTAAACACCTCTATCCTGCAAAACTGTGTTTTCTTCGTTATTTTTGTTTCTCACCTTGACAAGCTTTTCCGATATATGGTTAGTGAATCGCCTAGAGGGAACTCTACTCAAAAATTGGTATAAACTACAAAACGTATCATGCCTTCCCGGAAAGCAGGATCGACGGTCTAATCACGGTCGAGAAATGAGCCCCATGGGAGATGCCAGCCCTCACCGACCTCATCATCTAAAATCGTTCATTCCTTCTTCACCGAAAGATGCTACTGACAGAAGAATCGTCGTGTACCCTCCATATCGTTTCACCCAGGAGATTGGCCACGGACAAAACAGTCAGCTGAGGGAAATAGTTTTGCTCCTGGACAGGTATGGTGTTGGTGATAATGACTTCCTGAAACAGTCCTCCGGATAATCGTTCGATGGCAGGGGGGCTGCATGACACACCATGCCAACGTCAGAGACCTCGCCTCGTCTACTCTTCTGACCCCACACGAGCTTCGAACCAACACTGTAATCTCATATCACGCCACAGGGTTCATCGTAGTTTACCTGAAAACAGCGTGTGTGCAGCAAGCATACACTTCTCGCGCACCTTCCTGATGAAGGAGGGCTGCGCCGTTCGCAATTGTGCCTGCAAATGTCCGGAGAGTTTTACGTACATCAGGACACTTACCTCTGCAACCTTGAGCTCCACGAAGAGACGGAATCCAAAACCAAACTGAGTGTAAAGACAGCATCCTTTCCATAAAAGACATCCAGAATCTCACTTCGCTCGACGTAAACATTTTTTCTTTCATTTAGCAACACGGGTAAGCAACAGACAGTTTTCGAAGCTCGATTATCTTGGATTTGTTCAACCATCGCGATTATCGAAATTGGAAAATTATACATGTACTTCAAAAGAGAAAGACATACCAGCTGTATCGATCATGTCGTCTACCATCACTGCAACTTTTCCCCTAACGTCACCAATGAGGTTCATGACCTGCATGTACATCATGTTCAACCCCGAAATCCGAAGTCAGTCTCCCAATCTGTAGTTCTCACAGTGCCACCCAAAAAAACCCCATCAAGGTGAATAGAACACGATAATTTCCGCATATATGGAGCACATTTCGAAGGGTAAGTCCACAAGTGAGAACATAGTATAGTAATCGTCCACAGAATTCGTCCGTTAGCCACAAAGTAGTACGTAGAACGCTTGGACTGGCAGGGAGAATTCTCGTACATCCAGGAGAGGAGATGAATTACACCCTGGACATTCCTTCCGAATGTGATGATTAGCATGTGCGAGCCGAATGGGCGAGGCCAACACTGTAACTAGTCCAAGGGTGTCACGAGTCGACACACTTACATATGAAGAAGATCTTAGAAATTCTATACTTTTACACAGTCCTCACTCGCACTTACAGAGCTAGGATCAAACGTTCGTCTTGGACCCTACACCATCCCACACAACGCCCAGAGATAATTGCAGAATTAGCCCATGAGCAGATGGTGCGACCCAAAGTGCATCACTATCCCCACTTACTACGACAGCCGATGTCCCGTTGCTCGACTGACATCACAGCTTGCTTCGGCAGCATTTGCTGGAACTGACAACAGGTTTGAATTCAGATTCCAGTGTCCTCAGACATTTCTCTTGCGAGTGTCTGATATTATTATTCAGGGCCAGAAGGACCTCGCGGTCCGAATCTCAGAGATTCGGGGCCACAGCTTCCCAGCCTGGGCTGATGCATTCTGTGGTACTCACACACTTATCAAGCAATGACATTTCCAGAGCTAGAGTAAAGGCAGGCATCTGCTTTGCAGGTGGACATTCACCTCGGATACATTGTGACCCTGACGCCTCTTGTCCACAATGGCTAGAGGAGCATCGGACAACTTCTTGGCAAACGCACGGGCTCGGGCTACTCCCCCGACGTCTGGTGACACGACCACCAAGTCATCTGCAGAGATCATCTTGCTGGCAAGGTAGTCCAAAATCACAGGCTGCAAGCACCAAGAACACAACTAACTTTAGTCAGAAAGCGCCAAAGTCGCGAACTAATTCCTCAAGCAAACATGTGCGAGGCTACATTTCACCTTCAATCAAACTGAGAAGCGATCGAAGCTGGCCAACGAGCCTTCCCAGTTCAGAGCGCCCTCTGGAAACTATAAAGCAGGGTTTCAGTTTCCAATTGATACCAACCTAGGCACGATAAATACCTGTCCATAAACATGATCGACAGGAATGTCGAAATAGCCCATTGACTGTCCCGAATGCAAGTCACATGCCAACACACGGTTGGCACCAGCTTCGGTGATCAAATTCGCCACAAGCTTAGCTGCAATAGACTCCCTCCCTTGAGTCTGAAGTGAATCCCAGAGTGGTTAGTAAATACTCGGCACTACCACATCTGAAATCTACAGACTATTTCGCAGAAAAGCAAGAAATCAAAACAACCATATAAGCAGTAAGATCTCTTCGACTTCACGTCCTAGGGCAAAAAGCGGACGCATGTCAATAAAAAATGGGCGTGCGAGGAACTAACGTGAAGAATTCACAGCACCCGAAAAAATGAGAAAGAAGAAAACAACCGAATACAGAAGCAAAGGCTCTCGAGCAGGCACGAGCGATAAAACCAGACGGCCAGGCCGGACACATTGAGATTTCTCACCTTGCGGTCAGCTCGGGCATATCCGAAGTAGGGAATGACGGCTGTGATGGTCTTGGCAGACGCACGACGACAGGCGTCAATCATGACGAGGAGCTCCATCAGATTTTCATTGGCAGGCGGACAAGTGGGTTGCACGAGGAAAACATCACATCCTCTGACACTCTCCTGAAGCTGAACGTAAATTTCTCCATCGGCAAAACGTTTGATTCGGACTTTGCCCAATTCGAGGCCCATGTAGCACGCAATTTCCTGCCAATGGCCATTTCAGAACACCAAATATTACGCACTCTCCTTCCCACAAACAAACCAACAAAATAACAGAAGCCAGAAAAAACTTCCGCCTTCAGAACGAACGACGTACCTGAGCGAGCTGCTCGTTGGCAGTGCCCGAGAAGATACGCAGGCGGCTACCATTGGATCGTGGTTCTCGCAGGTCCATGTCGTGAAATGCCCGAGACCCGAGAACGGAGCCATTGCCATTCACATTCATGGAGGGAACGACGGGCTTGCCGTTCCAAGAAACATTGTTGTTGTTCACATTGTTGGCCAAAGTGCACAGCGGGCGAGAAGGCGAGCGGGACGACCACTTCAGGGGCAAATGCGTGGTCGAGGCCGAATTGCCGCTCTTCCAGCGGGGAGAATCCACCGCGTCCCCGAACAATTCACCCCCCGCCTGCCCCAGAGTGCCAGTGCCGGCACATCCTCCTAAACCCACAATCCTGCTGCTCGTCAGAGCCATCGCCATGACTCGGCCTGCGACTTTTCCGAAGGTGTGACTTCTATCGACCACACCTCGAATCCAAACCCCTTCAGCCCCTCGTCTCCGTCCCTCGCTCAAATTCCAAGCTCAGCTGCAGAGTTCCATCAACCAACAGCCCCACCACAACTCAATCCCTTGGACCACCAATCGGCCCCTCCCTCTCCCTCTCCCTCTCCCTCACAATCCAAACAACGAACTTCAGTCGAACATCGATACCCTATCGCCCGGCCCCCGCACCCGGCTCGCCTCCCCGACCTCGATCTACAAATTCCTGGACACACCGAGTCTCAACAATCAATCTCCTGGCCAATTCTTTACATATACTCGAGCTGAATGCACGCCCCAAGCTCACTCGCCACGACCAAACAACACCAAACTCAGACGCACCCGCACTCGCACTCCCGACAATCGTAGGATCAGACTCCTATCTGCGGAGAATCTTCGGACGGTCTAGTAGATGCTCAGCCGAGCTGAGCTCAGCTTAGCCTCAGCTTTGCTGCGGCTCTCGCGTCGTCGTTGCGCCCGAGCATTCGTTCATTCGCTTCATACGTTCCTGCGTTCCTGCCTTCGCATCACATCTGAGCTCACTTCCCCCCTCCCTCGCTAGCTCGCTGACGGTCGGCCGAGCCCCTTGCTCTGCTCGTCGTTCTCGCTGGCGGACGAGTCCGACCGTTCCCGGGGCCGAAGTGGTGAGAGAGAGCCCTAACCACGACGCTTACGACGTAAGCACGGCGAAGCTCCTGGGCCGTCACGCGGGACGTCACCGGGGCCGACTGTGGTCTGGTCTGGTCTCGTACGGGGCCACAACGTCAGCCACGAGCGAGTACACCGCAGTACACCAAGTACCGGCCTCTCGACAGCGGTGGACTCACGGGAAAGGTCGCGGTCGATGGCGGCTCGCGTGGGCGACTGGAAGCCGGCCGGCCTGACTCCTATCTATCGAGATCGGGGGAGGGGGCCATCCTCTGCCGTTCGATCGGGCGCCCCCCTTCGCTGCGGTTACCCACATAACGGGTTCTCGGAAACCCTGCGGTGCCTGACGGAAAGGGGCTCTGCCAGGTGTGCGGGGCGGAAGGCGCTTTCTGAGAGCACGTAGGGCGAGTGTGAAAGGGCCGGACGGGCGTCCCAGCGGTCCACGTGGTGAGACGCCACCTACCCGCGATCGTGCTGGGACGATCCCTACCGACGATCCGTCAAGCTTTTGTCCCGTCGCGGCCACTGTTGTCCAGCGGTAAACCTCCGGGTTCGCCCCATCCAATCCGGCCTGTCCATATCCCGACTTCCGGGTACTCGAGCGTACCTCCGGATGCTGGGCGTGGATCTTCCCCCACAAGCCCCCGCTTTAAGAACGTCTGTTCTTCAAGTTAAAGGGCACGCTCTGGAAAAGCGAAAGTTCCTTCGGCTCGTCGCTTTCTCCTCCTTCGGAAGATTTGGCATGTCTCGCCGGGCTTGTGAATAATAGTTATAATAATAATCATCATCATCATCATTCACAGCTTTTTAACTAATTCGCGATTCCACAATCTCACCCTCGTGTATGAATTTCCACCGAGATTAATAAAGTCAACCATCGTGTGCATTTAAAAGAAATTTAGCCCTGTTATGTCTGCACGCTACAACCTGTCTAATGCACTTAAAGCTTACCTCCTGCTTGTGAATTTAGATAAAATAGGAAATAATCAGAAATAGAATCAGAATGAGATAAGAACGGTGAAATTCCCTGGTTCTTATTCCAGCGTCTCAATGATCCAGCAAGTGATATATTGTATGACACTGATGTAACTCAACGACATTGTTATATGCTTTTACTGCAGCATGACACGAATGTTTCACGCATTCCGAACTTGACCATTCAGCTCATCGTATATAAGTAAAAGCAACGTATACATGGCATCCACACAGAGATATATCCTGCTTCGAATCATCTCGCAGCATGTGGCATGTTTCTACATTTGGTCGCTCTCAAAAGTCCTACAGCATCAAGAGTATGAGTAGCCCGTAAACGCCATTTGTCGGTGCATCCGATGCATTAAAACACTAAGTTTTCTAAACAATCGTACAAGTACAATTTTTGGGAAAAAAATGGGCAAATAGTATAGATTAAGATGCCAAGAGACTTACATGGAATCAACAACCAGCACCAAACGATCACCACGATAATATGTGCACTACAAGTTAAACTATTTCCATATTGCACTACAAGTTAAGATATCCTCTCTATGTAGGTCTAATTGTCTACAAAGATTACCATCCAAAGAAGCATCGCCTCACTAGATAGTTCTGTTAGCAAGCTACGGGAAAAAGCGCTAGGCAAAACTGCTCTATATAGAGCAGTGGAAACAAGTTACCCAAAATGGTTTCTACAATAACCCCAAGAGAGTGATACCTTTGGCCTCGGTACAGTAGGCTCGTTCACATTTCTCTCACAAACATGTAGATTATGACTTGAAAAACTCCATTATCTCCACTGGTGTTTGAGCAAAACGTTCACATCTAGACTTGGATAAAGACAGTGATGTGTTGACTTTTGCCGTTGCACGTAGGAATATTTAATCTCTGTGGAAAATATGTCATGTGTAAGATTGATATGAACCAGATGTGCAATTGAACCGGTTCTCCTGCTGTTAAGGTAAACACCAACAGTTTGTTACTGCAAGGCCAATTTGCCCTCTCACTGCAAAAGCGACAAAGCATTTTTAGTGGCTACATGGTGAGCCACCTTCTTACTTTTGAGTAAAAGATCTGTCTTATGGACGTCTGCTGCATTTGAAGTGTTAGCTGCTCACATATGATGAAAATGTAAACAGATGCTCAAGCCAAGTCAAATACTCAATGCTATATAAAAAGTGACATTCCACAATTTAACTTGATGTGGCATCAACGGTATATCCATATCTTGTGGTAATCTTCAGGTTCATGCACTAGAGAGAAGATAAGGTTCTACACAAGCTGTTACTCTGTTTGTCCTCATTACTTGGAGGTACGTTGTATGACACCTCGTGACTATAGCAAAGAGAAGTCCCTTTGCTATATAGACCCTCTCATGTCTTGTCACTTGCACTTCTTAAATGTCCAATCCTTCTGTTTTATGGTGAAGTCTGTAAACCATGAAAACTTCGACTATGTCCATCACTTCGGCAAAATATATTTAGGACGAATTATGATGAGCTGATGAAGAGTGATTGGAATGGGAATGGCTCGACATGAAGGATCTGAGAGTCCGTCATGTGCATACCTTTTCGCATTTTAATTTAATTAAAATAATGTCCTGTCGTAGGGGAGTGCAACTAGTAGCCGATGCCTTCGTGGCATTTGAAGTACAGTTTCTATATCGTAACATTTTTCATGCAGCCCCTACATTACCTACACTTATTTTTTAGCCATATATAAAAAATTAAAATTATGCAATCCTCTGAATTGTCTCGCATGTACTGAATGCACCATTCAATACCCTCGTGGACCTTTAGAGAGGCGAACGACTGCGAGAGGAACTGGCTGCGCAAAACTTATATTGCACATGATTTTCACGTGAAGTGCGATAAATTCAACGTGCTTGAGGCTTTCCATGTTCTCCACCTTGTATCACTCCAGCCGGAAGCGAGTCACGCGAAGGAGGAATGGTCAGTGGAGCTTGCGACTTTTGCCCTCGGCTGAACTGCAAACTGGTCAATGGTTGGACTTGTTCCTCTAGGGGATATTCCAACTCATGTTGGATAAGAGTAGTTTACACTCCCTTCTCTTCACGTGAAAGACATGGAGTCAGTACGCTCGTGGGCAGTATGTCAAAACATCAAAAGTAGGCCACGCAGCCAGAAATTGCTAAAGATCTTCCGCTTCTGGTGAAAAAAAAATCTTCATTAGAAACATTCGCTGCTTCTTTGACAGTTCACGTCCGAGTCAACTGCTCATTTGGGAAAAAAAATTTCATTTTAAACATTCGCTTCATTGATAGTTCACGTCCGAGTCAACTGCTCGGATAAATCATCAATAGAAGGGAAGACGAAGGGGACGACAAATTCACCAACTTCCTTTGTTCATCGTGAATTTTCAACTTGGACCATTATGAGAAACACACAACGCGGGCACACAAGATGAGCAAAGTTTGCAAGGCTATGAGTTTCTTTGATCTGCACAAGTCTCGAATTCTCTATCCCACAAAACAAGTGTAGCCCATCGTAGCATTCTCATCAGCTTTGCATAAGCATGCAAAGTGGGAGTTGTAAAATTGGTCAAGCAATCACATGAAGCTCATCATTTCGAGTTTTGGAATTCGACCAATACACTCCATAGTTCGTGGTTGTGTGGATTCCCTTCGAAACGAGAGACTTCCGAGCACGACTCTAGTGCGATGAAAGCGAGATTCACATTAGAATCCGGTAACCACCAGCCTATATTTATCCGCTGGCTGTAGGGATCCACTAGCGAGGAGGCAATGGCTACAATCTAACACTCACTGTCGTTGCGAGAAGCCACCTTAGGCTACTGTAACTTTATAGCTGTACGGAAGGTTAAGGCAAGGGTCAGGCTTTCAAGCTGCTCCAGTTGTACCTTGCATCTCTGAACATAGTCAGAATTGCCCTGTGTGCAGAAAAGAAGATTGAAATTTATCTGATTTGGTGGGGGTGGTAGTAGCAAGTGATAGTCCTTTGGGCTCCAGAGCCAAGCTAGCAGATCTATCCTACCTTGGTGAATGTTTATCGATCGAAATGTTAAAATATGGCTCAGAAACTGTCTAAAGAGCTGCTGTACATGGAACCGCAAGCTGCTGTAGATCTTGAGAGGCAGTCAGGAAGGCACACCTTTTGGCGTGAGTGGAGCACTGAGCAGTGAGCTTCACCTTCATATTTTGAGGTTAACGTAGCAGATTCAAAGATCAAAGAGACAAGCGAGCAAATCTACCTCGTCCCATGTCATATCTTGTTTGCTAACAAGATATTTTTCTTCATTCCTCAGAAAAGTCTTGATGCGTACTCGAAGAGGCGTATCTGAGCGCTGAGGTTATGAGCTACAGAGTCATGAACTGCTACAGACAGAGAACACATCAACTACTCCGTTGAAGCTCGGATTCTCGTTGAGTCCAAAACCAGTCTGTTGCTCGCAAGCACTTCTGGCTTTACACCTGTGCATCGTGTTAGTTGGAGATGTGGAATGTCTGACCGCGTGTTGGATATGTGATCGTATATCAGGTACATGTGAGGAGATCGGAAACGTGAGGAATCCTTTGAATGAATGGAAGTATCAGCTTGCAGCTGGTTCACTATATCCTGGAAACGACGAGATCTAGATCGAGAAGTCCTCTGTCCCGTTAATTCCAGCACTCTGCCAAGAATTCGTCATGTGCTCGCTGCATGTCGTTTTTACAGTCACCGTGGGCCGACAGAAGTCACGGGCAGTCTAGGACGCGTGGAATAGCCAGCTGAGTGAGCTGCGTAAGACTCGCACCTCTGGTTTCATGAGCTTGAGATGGATTCAGGTCAATTTGAGCCTGAACTCTGAGGTTCTACTGCCGCTCGCTGATCGTTTCGACAGGGTTGAGGGTCTAGAGTGCCACGAAACCAGTGAGAATTCAGATGATAGGCT